GCCATAGCTATGTCACATTGCATATAGAAAGATTCACTTTCGGCCTCGGATATTACCTCATGTTCATTTGCCATGAAACAAACATTTGGGTCATGAAGAGCAAGTTTGGCTCCTTCTTCATCACTATCCGAGTCACTTGGTTCGGATTCTTCCCATCCGGCATACATAGCCTTCTTCTTCTTGTACTTCATGTACTTTTCTTTGAGCTTAGGGCAATCCTTAGCGATGTGACCCGGTTCATTGCATTCAAAACATTTACCTACACGAGAGGAAAACTTGTTGTTAGATCGGGGGTTAAATTTCTTGTTCATCTTTATGAGTCTAGATATTCTTCTAGAGAGATGAGCCACTTCTCTAGAAAAATCGACTTCACTCTCCAACGATGAAGATGAGTTGTCACTAGCTCCTTTGAGAGCTATGGTCTTCAACTTTGGTGACGGCTCCTCAACTTCACGTGATGGCACTTCCTCCTTCTCCTTCCCCTTGAGCTTCTTCTCATGCACTTTGAGCTTTCCAATAAGGCTATCAAGAGCTAAGGTAGTGAGGTCATGAGCTTCCTCAATGGCCGTAGCCTTGGGCTCCCATGCCGGAGTCAATGAGCGAAGTATCTTGTAGTTCATCTCTTGAATGGATAATTGCTTATCTAGACCATGTAATTCATTGATGATATTAGTAAAGCGAGAAAACATAGCATCAATGGATTCATTAGGAAGCATTTTAAATAGCTCATAATCATGCATAAGCCCACTAATCTTAGATTCCTTAACTTGGGGGGTTCCTTCATGTGTGATAAATAAATTTACCCAAATTTCGTATGCGGTTGCACACGTGGAAACTCTATTATATTCATTAGGGGAAAGACCACAAATTAAGGCGTTCATAGCCTTAGCGTTGAGATTAGCTAGGTGCCTTTCTCCATCGGTCATGTTCCCGACTTTGGACTTTTCTTCATATTTCTCTTCTATGAGCTCTAGGATGTCAAGGTCAATGCAACGAAGGTAAATTCTCATCCTAGCCTTCCAATAAGCAAAATTAGTTCCGGTGAAGAGAGGTGGTCTAGTTGTGGATTGTCCTTCTAACATATGCATATTCAAAGAGGCCTCCATTAGATCTTTTCTCTAAGGTGATTAAACCAAAAAATTATATAGAGACCAAGCTCTGATACCAATTGAAGGACCCTAGAGGGGGGGTGATTAGGGTCAAGAGGCTCTAATATGCAATTAAAAAACAGTACAAACAAACCACAGTAACAGAAGTGCAATAATAAAGAAAGAGATAAAGTTAGGAATCGTTATCCTTGACGCGCGATGTGTTAACGAGGTTCGGCCCGCTGACCTACGTCCCCGCTCCCCACTCTCGAGGAGAAATCCACTAACACATCCGGTTTGGAAGCCGGAACTTCGTCTACACAATGATCCCACAAGATCTCTCTCTCACTAGGTTTTATAGAAAAGTTTAAATCATTTTAAAACAAAACCCAATCTTCCCAAATGAGATAATAATCTCTTCTTCAGACCCTCATCACAGACTGTGCCAATCACTAACAAGTGAAAGCACAGTGTTCGATGTAAATGACCGTTTAAAAAAGTCGCGGCTGACCAAAGACAAAATCCGGTTGACCGAAGAGAATTTCGGTCCACCGGAAAAAGCCTTCGGTCGACCGAAAAGGTGCTTCGGTCGACCGACCGAAAAATTCGGTCGACCGCGAGCAGCTAAGGAAAATATGGAAAACAAGCAGAGACTCATCGGTCGACCGGCGCGGTCGACCGATTTAAAGATCGAAATTTCGGTCGACCGTACCGGTCGACCGACGACTCTCTGGAAAAATACTGATGAAAGGTCATAGGATCGGTCGACCGTACCGGTCGACCGATTTCTGATATTTTCTTGAAAAAGGATTTTTGACCAACTTGAAATATTTGCAAAATATTTATTTGACCTCTGAAAATTCTGAAACTTTGTAAAATGTTTTTAATACTAAAAACAAACTGTTTGGAAAAAGAATTTTGCAGATAGGTACTCATACTTGTGAAAAATAGTATTTTGTAAAAAACGCTTAAAAGCATAAGTCTAAAAACGTGTGTGTGATTCCCAATAGCTTCAAGTAAACTCAGTAACTCTTTGCCTACATTCTAGCACTAGAGAGGGAAACAAAAGAAAGCTAATATCCTCATATAGAGTGCAATACTTGAGCTTTGATATAGCTTGAATCGGATGAAGCTTTTATTCGCCAATAGCTTCAAGTAAACTCAGTAACTCTTTGCCTACATTCTAGCACTAGAGAGGGAAACAAAAGAAATCTAATATCCTCATATAGAGTGCAATACTTGAGCTTTGTTATAGCTTGAATCGGATGAAGCTTTTATTCGAATTTGTCGTTCTTGAAATAACGTTGCTTCATTTCTTGGCCTCCTCCTCCTTTGTATATTTTCGTTGTAGCATATATTCCATCCATCCTTCGTTGATGGCACTAACGAGCTTGACAAATGAATTTACTACATTTATACTCAATAAGCCATTAGTACCGATAATGGTGGTTGTAAGAACATCATCAAAACATAAGGGCTAACAATATTTGAGTGATTTTGTGAGTTATAATCCGCTATTTTTCTCCTCCATATAGTAAAATCTCCCAATCCTCTTCCCGTAGATGTAGACAATTGCCGAACCACGTAAATCTCTGTGTTTGGTTTGATTTATGACGTATTTTGTGAATTGCACTCGTATTTGTTTTGGTTTTCTTCTCTCATCATTCATCGACTCGTTTGGTTGCCGAGCATGCTTCCGCACGACGTGCAACAAGTCAGGCTCAAGATCAAAGGTATAACGTGTAAGAAATCATTGTACATATATGATCATATTCTCTACAGGTACTCTCATAGCACAAACAAAAAATTTACTTTTAAATAGACTTTCAAATAAAACACAAAATTTTCTTACGAAGAAGAAGATTTCTTGCATTTAGAGGAGGAAGATTTTGACGATCTTGAAGAAATCCTGGATGTTGATCGGAGGAGCGTCAATCCGAGGGCTTTTATGGTCGGAGGAACTACGACGAAGGGGAGAGAGAACTTTGGGTGAGTTTTGTGGTCAAAGGAGAGTCGATGCCAAGCCTTTTGTGGTCGGAGGAACTATCGAATGAGAGAAGAGCGAAATTTGGGGATTTCGGCATACGCGAGAAAGAGACCGATTTTAGGGGATGGGGATATGAGTTAAGGGTAGTGTTGGTATTATTGAAAGTATTATACAAAAATATATTGTTTAATAAAAAATGAGTTTAAAAGTAAATGGCTATGGGCATTTTGGGTTTATAGGTCTAGATAGAACTTAATAAGTTTTTTGATAAGTAAAGGTCAAATTTTGGGTCTAAAAGCAAAAATCCTAAGGGGGTGTTAGTCAATTGGGACATTTTTATGCAAAATGAGATAATTGATAAAGTGGAATAATTTTTCGCTAGTGGGATATTTTAGTGAGATAAATAGGAACAATTTTGTGAAGCGTGATATTTTGATAAAATAACGTGGGAAAATTTTTTATAATCATGAAATATATATATATGTATTTTGAAGATATAAATACTATTTATGTATTTTAAACTTGCTATTATTGATTGATAATTGCTTACAAAAATGTTATTTATTATTAAATAATTTTTAGTTAGACTATAAGATATTGACAATTATTATTATAATGATGATCTAATGATGGTGATAACCATAATAGAAAAGAAGTAAAGAAAAAAAAAGAAATATAAAAAAAAAAAAATATGAGTTTTAGTTTTTTACCATCTATTTCCAAGTTAAAACTTGGAATAATTTGAGAGACTAGAACTCTCATTTTTGTATAGAAAAATAAAAAAAAGTGGGATACTTTTGTACCATTATCCTAATTCTAGTTTTGTTAGAGTTCTGCTTGACTAATATTGTAAAATTTTATTCTAGTTTTAGTTTTATGTGACTAACACCTTAAAAATTTATCCTATAGATTATCCCTGTTCCAATTTTAAGCTAATAGAGAATGAAAAACAAAAAAGAAGATAGCACAAACCAAAGAAATCACACCACTCAGTGCGAGGTGGTAAACGATCGAATCGAATCGAATACTAAAGTATTCATATTTGTATTTGTTTAAAATTATCGAATTCGAATGCATACTCTAATATTCATATATTTAGTTTTTCGAATTCGAACTCGAATACTTGGTATTTGATAAATATTCATGAATATTCACGAATACTTATCGAATATCAAAGTATATTTATTCTGCTAAAGAATTTAATTTTCAAATAGTATTAAAATTCATAAATAAAAATTATTCCTTTATAATATATGATGTATATATATTTAAATCAAGATTTTAATTAGAAAATAGATTTAATATTATTTGAATCTTAAAATCAATGTATAAAACTTAAGTAGAAATGGTAAGTGGGTAAAAAATATAACATCATATGTGCAATAATATAAATAATTAGTTACGATCAAATTTTAAACGAATATTTAATAAACAAACGAATCGAATATGCATCTGGTTAAATTCTATTCGTTAGTAAACTCGAATACTAAAAAATATTTGTTTAGCGATAAATGAACTACCGAATCGAATATGACCGAATAGTTATTCGAATAATTATCGAACTATTTGTTAATTATTTAGTTCATTTCCACCCCTAAGTGCGAGCACGGCGTAGCGTTTGTTCTCGATAATGTGAATGAGTATCAATCAAAATAATTAGATTTTGACTAAACAATGACAAAAAGCCATTTATGGTAAAATTAATTAGTATTAATTCAAATGGATTCCCAAATATATCTTTGTTTGACCGAAAAAAGTGTCCACGTGCGCAGCTCCTTCATTTTACGTGCACTGCCCGTGTAAAAATGGGCTCGCATCAGATTAAAAAAGATCCCAGTTTTGCCGCGAAAGAGGAGATGAACCGGCAGAGTCTTCCAATGGAAGGAAGCGGTCATCAGAGCTCCGATCAGGGGGGATCGGGTGGTGGAGGCCATGGGGGAGGCCATATCGGTTCTTCCCAACTGGAGGGACGGCATCCCCCAGGGAGGGAGGCAAAGGATCGTCAATAAGATGTAAGCTCATCATCTCTCTCCTCTCTCCGATCTCTTGTTGTCTTGATTTGATTTCATTTCGTTCGGTGATCGATTGAGAAATTAGTTGGATTTGTCTTGCTTAGCGAAGCCCCAATTCTCTTAACAGATTTAGGGTTTCGGTAGATTGAGTACTGATCAAAGGAATGTAAATGAAAATTCATGTTATTTTTGAGAGTTCAATGAGATATTTGCATTTGGGCAGATGTTAGACTTCAAAATTCTCGGATTTTTAGGATTGAAAGGAAGAAAATAGAGAAAGAAGTTAGTTTTGGGATAAACTTAAAATGCGATCTTTCTATTATTGATGCAGAATCTGCATTTTATAATGGTGCTGTTTTCTTCAAACATCTATGTAGACATTTTCATTAGAGTAAACATTCACTTCAAGATCCACTTCAAGATCCACATCTATGTAGACATTTTTATTAGAGTAAACATTCACTTCAAGATCCACATATTTCGAGGATCAAAAGAAATATAGCTGAGAAAGTATGTAGTTTCCAGATAAAGTAAAAAAATGTAATATTTTCTGATAGTTCTAGATGTCTGAAGGACCAAACTCCACTGGAAAACTAACGGTTTCACCAGTGTTCGTCGATGAGGGTTTCCTGTTGAACCTTTTTGATGTGGGGTCTCTTAAAAAACATTGTATAGATGAGGGTTTCGTGTGATTTACTCATTACTGTTACCCAAAATCTTCAAGAATTGCAAGACCTTTGGCTTTTTCTTATCTCCCCTCCTTTACTCGATCAACAAGCTATGAACCTTATGCATGAGGCACAAGTTGCTTGTATGAAAATAATAATTACATTACCATCACCTAGAGATATTTGAAGATTTCTTTACTCTTTTTGATATTAGAAGTTATGAACCTTTGTCATATTTTGCAGACTAGTACATGATAATCTCTTCATTCTCATCAGTTATGTGATTGTTCATCATTACACAGAATGGAACTTTTACAGACACATGAGCGAACATACGTTCCTTCCGACCACTTGGATGTGCTAAGAGAGGTTGCTACCAAATATGAGGACAGAGCTTATACTACGGCTTCTAGTGTGGTACAGACATTCAAAACCTTTGATCTTTTTTGCTACCTTTAAGTTGAAGATCTAGTCTGCAAACAGAATTACTGTTGCTTGTGTTCCTCTGAAAATAGTACCTAGGAGATTCAAATGTTTTTGTCCATATTACGCATTCTTCACTACAAACAGTGACTTAGGGTCTTTGTGTTCCTGCAAAATAACTGACTCGTGTTTGTAAGATAACAATCTTTGGGACTTCTAAATTCTCATCGGTATATACCAAGAATGTTTTGACCAAATGCTAATACTGGAATATTGGTGTACTAAAAGCTAGAAAAAATAGTCTCTTACTTAATTCATTGGAACACATAAATTTATAACCATTTGTGATGAACTTACATTCTGCATCAATCTTTCCTAACAAAAATTGCACCCCATGGTGCAGTTAATAGTTTCATGTTTGCAACAGTTTTATTTTATTTACAGCATGAATTTATGAATGGCGGATCAATCATAGAGCTTTAGTTAATGGTTGAAATACCACCTCATGTTTGTTTTATTAGAGACAATGTCTGTTCAGCAACTCCAGCTATGTCCACAAAGGTGAGCATTCTAGTGGACAAGCAAAGCTTTTACTAGAAGACTGCATTTTTGTTTAATGCAAGCTATGCAATACTCCCACTGCATCTCCACCATGAGAATGCGGCTTGTTGGCATCAAAGTCCTATTTGCATTACTATGTTTGATATTTCTTGTTTCGAGGAAATGCAATGTTCCCATGTTTAATGAATTAATTTCGTAGAAATGCATTGTTCCCACATTTAATGCATTGAATGATGTTCAACCTCATGTTTTCCTCAAAAATTCTTGCGGACTAATGCAGTGTTAGATGAGTCAAGGTAAGGTTCATGAATCCTGGTTGAGTTGGAGGTTGGATTATAACTATATCTCGGATGTCGGATGCTAAACACATCCACTAGATAATGCATAACTCATGCTTAGGGAGTTTTAACTTGGCGAACAACTATAAGAAACAAACAAAATGAAATGGTATTGCTATTCCATGATTGGTATTTATTCACTTGAAATTGCATTCTAGAATCTACTCAACCAAAAATTAAACCTGAGCAGAAAGTTCTTGAGTTTGTTCTCATTGTCTTGAAATTCAAGAAAAACACACAAAGATGCTTGCTGTTTCATGCTTTGTTTGTTGACTTCCAATATCTCTTGATAGTTGTTTGTCTGATTATTTTGATGTTTGAAAATTGTCACTTATCATCATTTATATTGCAAATCTTTCTTTTGATATTTTCTGTGTTCAGGATTGTGCTGCTTGATAAGTTTTCAGCACGTAGTAGATTACCAAAGATTATATGATTCTGAATTTGAAATCGATTCATGATGGTAAGCATCTTTGGCATGTTAACTTGGGAGGCACTTGACCACTGGTGAATTATATCACTATGGGTTTTGAACGAATGAGATTAATTTGCGATAATCAATTTCTACAGATGTTTCAGTCATTACTTTAGAAACTGCTTATATCTTTGTTGTTTGTTATGATATGTTTAACTATCCTATGCGAAGAGAGTCACTGTTTTCCCTTGATTTTTTCACAGTCAGACTATCTGGAAGTAATTTCTCTCAAAGTGCTCACTATAAGAGCAAGGCAGGAACAGGCTCAGCCTTCTGCTCCAGTTAATCCAGCAATATCAAACATCGCTGCTGTGAACCAAAATCGTTCACATGCAGGTAATTTTTATGTTTCTCTGTGAACATATTTTACAAGCGGCACACTTCCTTTCACTGTTCCCTCCATCCCACTACAATGATAATTCAAACTCTTGGAAGCTGTAAGTTTTGCCAAGAGCTTGCTTTGTTGACTCCATTAATGGCAATGTAAGAGCTGCTTTGATATCCTCAGATCCGTCATTTTTCACCAGTGTCATCATCATAGTTTATTCTTTCATCATAGGTTTATGTATACCTCATTCAGACTTACGAATCCTGCTATATTATATTTTTCATGTTGACTGTATTTGATTTATTGTCGAGGCAAAACTTTCAGGTTATGATATTACTAAATCTGTGGAATTGCATTTTGTTTTTTTTTTTACATTTTTGATTTTTTTCCTTTTGAATGTTTGCCACTAATACTAGCAGGTGGATTTCACAATCTTCGTTTTGATATGCTCTTGATTACTTGCTTTTTTCTTTCTCCTTATTGTTTTCTTACTAATCATCTTAATCCCATTCCCCAAATTTGAAAACTGCAATATATTGCCTTAAATTATCTTTCTATTTCCTTTCAGAAGTCTTTACATATGGAAGGATTTAACAGGTGTATTAAAATTGACATCGCCTGAGATAATTAAGGTAGACAGTAACTAGTTTCTGGTATGGGTTACTTATGTACTGTTGAACAAAAACTCTTGTTACTTCTCCGTTGATGGAAGAAGAGTGGCTTGGGAATTTTCTGTTTGTCTGTCATTAGAATTTACAGGTTGGAATAAAAGTACCAGAGGGAACATGATGGGTAACTTTAACGGTTAAAGGAGGGTGGTAGATTGATTATTAAGCACAAGGCAGAAAAAGTTGTTTGGTAAAATTTGTTGTGCAATCAGATAACTTATATTTATTATTCTAGTTGTTGGAAGTTCATAGTTGATATAGTATTGTACTTTGTTATTCTAGCACGATAAGGGACTAAACACTTACTTTAGAGTTTTTAAATGAAGGACAGATCTTGAACAGAAAGTGGTGACTGAGGAGGTTGAAGCACATTTTACTAAATTAGATATGGAGCTTGTATGTGTGTGGGTGTGAACATTGAGATGTGAAGTGCCATCGTTAAATGCAGATTTCACTCATAGACCAAAGTGTTAAATGAATAATTGATGGGAAACTGGAAAACAAGAATCAAAGAAGAAAATTAAGATTTTCACCGATCAATGGCCTTATACGTGAATAAACACTCTCACGTCCTTTAACTCTCATAACAAGTAGGATTTCACATCCAAGATTGCATTGCATAAAATCATACTTTTACCAGTAACATTTTCATCATGCTTTTATTGAAGAAAAGCAGCCATTCAAAGATCTACAAAAAATTAGCATTAAAAAACTAATCCCTAATAAGAATAAAATCTAGTCATCCTACAGTAAAAACTTCCCTAAAACTAGATTCTAAATGATTCCGAATTTTAATTTGTCATTTGTAGATAAAGCTATAAAAGACCTTGATTAAATAAGAATAATCTAATTGTAAAACTAGTTTTGACCATCTTTTTTCCTTGTTTATCTCTTCTTTAGTGGTTTTACAAGAAAAGGCTGTGCTACATCAAATCTCAAATATGAGAACTTGATGAGATTTACCGCAATGGATCGAAGTTGTCTGCGAGTTTGTTTTCTTTCAAGAGATATAATTGAAGATTATCCTGCATAAAGTTATTGAAATTTGGATAGATGTCAATATTTGCTCATGATGTTGGATCTTTTCCCGGTACCAAATGATGAGGAACGGAAAACAAAAAATGAGGAACAAAAAGAATAAAGAAGAAGTAAATAAAGATTTCGACGTCATCCTTGAACTAATGACCTCACACTTGAATAGGCAGTCTCATGCCAATTAAGGCCGCTTACCTTCAAAAGTATGGTTTTACATCTAACACAACATAATACAATCTCTAAAATCATAATTTTTTTATTATCTACATCATGTCTTAAGTAAAGAAAAAATAGGCTTCATAAACCTAAAGAATTTTATCACTGACAAATTAATCTCTAATACGAAAGAAATCTGTTTGTACAAAAATAAAAAGATTCATAAGAGTTATGTTCTAAAAGATTCCTAAATTTTAATTTCTTTATAGATAAAGCTATGATAAAAATACTAAATTAAAGTCCTCATTCCAAAATAAATTTTGAATTTTTCACTTCTTAAAATCTTACCTTGTGCATTTCGACAAAAAAGATTTTGCCATGTTTCAAGAATATACCATTTCCATTTCATCTAGGGGATGTTTGAAAAATTGAAAGTGAACTGAAAATATGAAAGTCATTTTTTTTTACAAGCAAGAAAGTATATCCACGTCGGCATGCAAGTGAATTGCAATGTTTGTTTACAAAATCAAATTATTGTTCAAAGTAAAAAAGTAAAGAAGATGTGACAATATCATTTTATTTATTTATTTATTTTAAAATCATATTATACTTTCAACGATCTTTTGGTAGCTAGAAATAAATGAACTGAAAGTGAGTTTTATATACTAGATAAAATTACTCCTTTATTTGTTTAATAAAAATTAATCCTTCCCAAAATTTTATATATCTTGTCATTCCTCATATTAATTGTTATAAATTCTTTAAAATTTATAGTTGTTATGCAGCAATTTGATAATTTGAGGACTAATTTAAAAATAATTAGGGTTCAAAGGAATATATAGAAAAATCCGAAAGATAAATTCATGGTCCAAAGTTCTGGACCGTATAAGCCTTACAACTAAAGGAGCGGTTGATGAAAGACACTATTGCTGCAAGAAGAAGAGATATAATTGGAAATTATTTTTAAATTAATAAAAAGTGGTCCCTACTTTTTCACTTTCATATGACGTTTACTTTTTTTTGGTGAAGTAGAATATGCATTACGCCCTCCATGACATAATTTCTACGTTTCACTTGCACATACACTTTCAATAAGGGTGTGTTTGTTTTTATGAAAGTGAATTGTAAAAGTGAAATGATTTTAAGACTTTTGGTGTTTGTATTATTGAAAGTAATTTTGAAAGTGAAATGTTAAAATGAGTCTACATCAGCTCTAATGCATGTTTAAGTTCCCCTAAAAAAGTGCTGAAGTCAAGTGAAAGTGAGAAAAAAGTGGGGACCACTCCTAATTAATTAGTATATTGAAAGTGAGAAAAAAGTGGGGACCACTCCTAATTAATTAGTATATTTATTATTTATCTTACCTTATTTTTCCATGTTATTCGGTGGAAACAACCACCTCCCCCAAAAATTTTCTTACCTGCTAATTATATTATTTCTTTTATAGTATTTAATAGCTGTGTACATTGTTATGTCATGTATATAGTACGAATTAGACAATTTATGAACATGACTATACATTTTAGCGTGATTGTTGTACAGTTGTAACATGACTAGGCATTTAATAAGCCATTACGTTAAATATAAAGTACATAAGTAAAAATATACAAAATACAAAGAATCTATAAAAATTAGTACAAGTAATTGATGATATATATACCTGATGCTTTCAATTCGTTCTTTAGTTGTTACCAGAATAATTATTAGAGTTTAGAGTGTAATATGAATTTAAACAACAAATAAATAAATAATTTCCACATCATCTTTTTTTTCCTAGTTCCAAGATTAATTCATTTTTACAAACAAACATTGCATTTCACTTTCATGTTGACATAGATCCACTTTCACACTTGCAAAAATAAGTGACTTTCACACATTCGAGTTACCTTCATTTAACCAAACACCCCCTAAAGCAAACACCTCAACCGATGAAAGTGAGTTGCTTTATCACTTTTCAAGTAAACAAACACCCCCTAAGTATCTCCAAATATTATTAAACATAAACTGTGTGTTTTTGTAACTTCCACTTGATGCTTTGAGTGGATGCAAGTTGCAATATTAATGTATTGTTGCAATATTAATGTATTATCAATAGTAAGTAGATGATATATCTAGACCATATTTCTCTTTGCAACATATTTTCTGTCTATAGATGTTTTACACTTTTACTATGTGGATGTTGATGCTTGAAGTGGAACATGCAATAGATGGTGGGCTGGCCATGCGTTCTGGGTGGCTAGGCTGTCTAAGATTAAAAGCTAGGAATCTCATCATAGCATTTAACTCAATAGTTGTAATAAGGACCAAAACTTTGAAACATTGTTCTTCTAATCTTTCTTAAGTTTTCTCTATGCTGTAGAGCAAGATGAACATAGTGGATATTGATAATTTGATACCCTTCATTCTTCCTTCCTTTCATCTATATATCTTGCTGCCTATCTACATATAGTCACTAGCAAGACTAGCAACTAATCATACAAATGCTTCTATGATGCGACAGGTTCTCTTAATTCTCTTATGTGCTAGTACTTTTTTTTAGTTCCAAATTAATAGTTACATGCAAGTAATCTTCCATTTCAAGGATGAAATTGATTTTGAACGTCTGTGTAAGCCTGCTTCCTTATTAACTATCTCATTTCAAAAAAATTTAGAATCTATTGTTCATTATGTGTTACCATATTTTCTTATTACATGTATGCATGTTGCTGCCAATATGGAACGTTATTATCAGGTTATTGACCCATCTAATTTCTCATTTGTTTTTGAAGGGATTCAATATGAGCCGGTGACTTTGTCCCATCCTAATCAACTTAACCAGCGGCGGCATATTCTAGCGAACAGATCAGTTGTTGATTGCAAAAGGAATTTGATTCTGATAGATGATTCCAGTACCAAGGTAGTTTCCAACTTTCCATTACTCTGCCTCATTTCTCTTTCCTTGTTATGCTTGTAAATTTAATATTAACCACACCTGAATTCTTCAAACTTTAATTTATGGAAGATCAAAATCTTTAATCATTTTTGGCATATTTATTGCTCAGTGGATTCTGTTAATAAGATATTAATATGACGTGTGCCCTCCTGTGGATGTGAATAATAACTTTCTTTCCTTTGATTTTAATCTAGTCATATGTGATTTTATTGATCTTAAAGGTTATCTCATCTTCTTAAAAGCATCATGTCGCAAAAATATATTATACTGATTGTTCCAGCATCATCAATAACAACCACCAAAAACAAAGTCTTTATCTTAAATTTTCGGGGCCATATACATTATTGATTGTACTGATATAATTGGAGGTCTTAAATTCTGAGTCAAATAAATTGGACCCTCTGGGTGGATGACTTAGGCTTTTTGTCATACAGCTTTCATATAGAATATTCTGTGCATGGCGTCTGAACTTTGAAGTATATTTAATTTTGAGAATAAGTGCTACTTTGATGCTTGCCTTTTGTATTCCGCAACTTACACGGAGTACAATATTGTTAGCATCTTCGTCTGTTTAAATGATCATAGCTATGAATGAAGTCGCTAAGAGGCTGTACTGTATTGCATTGCTGTTGATCCCTTCTATTGTTTCCTGAGAACTAACCAAAAATGTGTCAAGAAGGCTGGAATTGGAGCCCAGTTGCAAGCCACATATTACTAACTCCACTCAGAATAGGGTTAATTGGATCAATGTTCATTGTAGTTATCTCATAATTGGACCTTCACACGTATGTTTCAATTGCTTGGATGATTGGTCATGTAATTAAATACTAATTGGATTATTAGTCACTTCTAACACTTCTCGTCAATTTGAGTTGTATATTTTCATTTATTTTTAAGCTATACAGCTTACTCAGTATGTCCCGAGTTAATATTTTCAAGAATAGAATGTCAAATGCAATGCAATTACTCAATACAAGTTACTTGATATGTCACAAATTTCATGTTCGTAAGTGATTACTGTTTTATCCATATGAATAAATCCATTATGTCAAATGATCAAGACTTTTTTATATCACGTCAATGAAAATTCATTATGTTAATTGGTGGAAAGAATTAGAAGTGATTAACGATCCAATTAGTATTTAATCTTATGACCATTTAAACTATAGGTATGAACATCCAATTATGAGATAAATAAGCCTCCCATTTCATTAATCCAAGGGGCTAGGTTACCCGGACACTTCATCTAGGCTCCCGTATCCGTGTCCGACATTTCTTGGACACTTCTTGAATGTGTATGTACATTTATTCAAATGTGTACTCAATCATATAACACACAATTTAATCCCCCCCCCAAAAAACTCGTGATACACTTCTTGAACATATATCGTACACTTCATCTCAAATTTATGCTACTCATTGCACTCGAGATAGTTTCGTTTTAGCACATACCTAGTTCATAAGTACGATTTTAAAGGGTTATTTGGGTATCTAGATAAAAAATGAGCGGATTTTCAATTTATAATCTACTCAATAAAAGAAACATAAAAATGGTACAAGAATTTTAGTTTTCATGATATGTGAATGAAAAACAATATCGGCCTCAAATTGATTATTAATTTTCATATGTATGTATATAGCCGTGTTCCTGTACCCCAACTTACAAATTTGACATGTCCAGTATCCATGCTCGTGTCCGTGTCCTAGGGGTGCTTATTAATATTAATCTCTCATAATTTAATTTTTTTATCTAATGTATAATGTATAAATGACAGAGAATAAAAATAAGCAAACCAGTGCCTGAAAAGAATGCAGCAGCTCAGGAGCCTACTTTTACCTGTCCTAATTGTAAAGGCACATTGGTTTCTCCTTTCGCCACTCTCTGTGGCCATATTTTCTGTGAAGACTGCATCAAGACTTCCATCAACAGGCGAAAGAAATGCCCCTCCTGTGAAATGAAACTTACTGGGAAAAATAGCATTCACAGAGTTTTCCTTCCAGGGCTACTCGACTGATTTCAATCTTCTAAGCTTTCTTGCTGCAGTTACAAGCTAGACTGATTTCAATCTTCTAAGCTTTCTTGCTGCAGTTACAAGCTAGACTGATTTCAATCTTCTAAGCGTTCTTGCTGCAGTTACAAGCTAGATTGATTTCAATCTTCTAAGCTTTCTTGCTGCAGTTACAAGCTAGACTGATTTCAATCTTCTAAGCGTTCTTGCTGCAGTTACAAGCTAGATTGATTTCAATCTTCCTTCTAAGCGTTCTTGCTGCAGTTACAAGCTAGATTGATTTCAATCTTCTAAGCTTTCTTGCTGCAGTTACAAGCTAGACTGATTTCAATCTTCTAAGCTTTCTTGCTGCAGTTACAAGCTAGTTTGTGTGCCCCTAGACTCTATGATCCATATTGGAAGATGATTTTCCTTCATTGTAGTTCTTTGTGCAAACGCTTGAGTATATAAAGAGCATTATAAAACATTATTATTATCCAGGCTACGGAGCGTAGGCATCCGTCTGGTTGTTATTTATAGTAAATGGAAGTGGGTGGGGATGGTTTGGCACTCTAATGGTGATGTATGTTTTCAGGATTCCACCTATCACTTTGACCTTTTTCATTTAGTGAATTTTTAATAATTAGTCAGTAGCATGGCTTCTCAGCCCAGTGATGTCGAAATATTTAATTTCATGTTGTATTGTCTATGGCCTGGATGAAATCCCCCCTCCCCCCCCCCCCCCCCCCCCCCCCCCCCACTGCCCAGAGCCACTTATGCCTTGTGCACGGGATATTATACTGATTGAAACCTATTACCAGTGCGCGGAGAAGTGTTTGGCAAGGTGGCGGTTCCAAAAAAGGTTAAACTCTCACGTATGAGAGTAGAAGATATTCAACTTTTTTAAAGAAATTGTTCCATAATTGAGTCACTGTGTTAGTTCCTTAAATCTTTTGTATTCTAAAATTAGTCCCCCAAACCATAGAAACTGCTATTAGGTTCGTCAAATTTTGACGTATTTGTAGATTAGCCCCTCCTCTCAAGAATATAAATAGCGATTAGAGAGATTAAATTTGAAAAAAAAAAACGATGAGAACTGACGGGCTGGTAGTCCACAACGATAGATTTTACTAGCTGTCCCTGCAATTGCTACTTCTGCTCTTGATTGGAGCGATTAATTTCAAAATAAGTTATGAATCGAGGAGCCCAATAGGAACATTTAAGGGGCTGATTTCAAAATAACCTAAGAATGGAGGGACCTAATAGCAATTTTCGTGATTTTAGGGACGTGGTCGAAATATGAAAGACTTCTTACTAGGGACGCGTTCAAAATATGAAAGATTTATTAGGGACCGGTATGGAAAAAAGGGAGCAGGGCCCCGTTGGGCCCCTACCGGCTCCGCCTGTATAGGTTCTTTTTCCTTGGAATTCATGGCGCAGAAGCATGATATCATTGCTACTTGGAACGTTAAACATACTCACTAGAACTAGAAGGTCCTGAGGACCGGCAGTTATGTACGTAGCCTACTGACTGCGCGTAGCATTACAATTTTTCTGTGAAGATTCTGCAGTCGAACTTCTTTAGGTCGTGCAGACAACAATGCATGTCATCCTCCGTTTGGTTTACTGGTTTATGATATGTACAATAAATCAATAATAGAATCAAACTTTAGGACTGAATCTGGTTTGTTGGTTGCCTTTAGTACTGTAAGCTAGAGGACCCTGATCGAATACAAAAACCCACAACCCCCGTCCATACTGCCGCTTCATCCAGCGAACAAACGAAGATGGAAGGATGGCGGTCAAAACTCTTTTATTATTTGTTGAAAAAGCTACTGTTCACTCCGAAGAGTTTCTGGCTTATGATATCAATTTTTGACGAATTTTAATCATTTAGAATTTTTGATGACTCTTAAGTTTACGAACTTAGAACTCTTTCAAATGAAGAACTCACTTATATTTCTTCAATTTTCTCTCTTCATATCAAACAAGGATTACAATAGCCCTTTATATAGGCTTCAAAAACAAAAACGTCTAGGCATACCAATAGTCACAAATTAAACTCCTATTTTAATGCCATAAAGATAAATGTCATAAATGAGTAAGTTACTCTTATTCTTCCATAACCTATGTCTCTTCACCTTCTAAACTTATGACCCTTGCACTTCTAAAACTCATTTATTCTAGCATTTTAATTTGATATTCCAACACGCCCCTTCAAATCAAAATGTCTTTATGCCAAGCATGTCTCTTAGCCTCATGAAAGTTTCACCTGATAATGGCTTGGTGAATATGTCTGCCACTTGTTCAGTGGTGTGACAATGCTTCAGTTCAACGGTTTTCTGCTTTACATGGTCTCTGAGAAAATGAAACCGTGTATCTATGTGTTTGCTCCTCCCATGATGTACTGGGTTCTTTGCAAGCTGGATGGCTGATTTGTTGTCCACAAAAATTACGGTCGAGTCTTCTTGTGGATGATCCAACTCCTTTAATATGTTTCGCAACCAAATTGCTTCACATACTGTAGATGCAGCCGCCACATACTCTGCTTCACATGAAGATAAAGCTACAACTCCTTGCTTCTTTGAGGTCCATGAAAATGCAGTTGACCCAAGATAGAAAACATAGCCTGTGGTGCTTTTTCTCTCATCTTGATCACCTCCCCAGTCACTATCTGAGTAACCAACTAGTTGTGCATTTTCATCATATGCATAGAAAAGACCCAGGTTGAGTGTGCCTTTGATATACCTTAGTATCCTCTTCGCAGCTAGCTAGTGAGATTCATTCGGTGTCTCCATATAGCGACTCACAAGTCTGACTCCATAAGTAATATCGGGCCTTGTGATCGTCAAGTATCTCAGGCTGCCAACTAGACTTTTGAAAAGAGTTGAATCCACGAAACGTCCGTCTCCTTCTCTTGATAGCTTCATTCCGATGGCTACTGGGGTGTTCACAGGGTTGCATTCATTCATCTTGAACTTCTCTAAGATCTCCTTCATGTACTTCTTCTGGGATATAAAAATCCCCTCTTGTTGCTGCTTCACTTCAATGCCAAGAAAATAGGACATCAATCCATTGCCCGTCATCTCAAATTCATTGAACATTGCCGCCTTGAATTCAGCAAGCATCTCGGTACTGCTTCCTGTGTACAATAAATCATCAACATAAAGACAAATTATTAGAAATTCGCCTCTATGGTTCCTCTTCATGTAGATGGCGTGTTCATAGGGACATTTAATGAAGCCGTTTTGATGAAGATAGCCATCAATTCGGGCGTTCCATGCCCGTGGTGCCTGCTTTAAGCCATACAAGGCTTTCTTCAAATGGTACACTTTGTCTTCTTACCCTTTTATAAGAAAGCCTTCTGGTTGTTGCACGTAGACCTCTTCCTCAAGAACGCCATTGAGAAATGCTGACTTGACATCCAAATGATATATATTCCACTTGTGATGAGCTGCAAGTGAAATTAATAGTCTCACCGTATCCAGTCGAGCAACCAGAGCAAAAACTTCTTCATAGTCGATGCCGTACTTTTGTTTGTAACCTTTCGCTACAAGCCTCGCCTTGTACCGATCAACTTCACCATTTGTTGTGCGCTTGATCTTGTACACCCACTTGACCCCTATTGCCTTGTGATTTTGTGGAAGAGTTGTCAACTCCCAAGTATCATTCTTTTGGATGGCGTGGATCTCCTCCTCCATTGCTATTCGCCAACAATCTTCTTTTACGGCTTCTTGAAAGGTGAGAGGTTCATGATCAGCATATAAGCAGAAAAGATTTGACTCTTCGTCTTCTTCTATCTGCTCATAGATCTCCCTGAGGCTTCTCATTTTGATGGGACCTCGTTGCATGGTAGATTCGCTGCTACTACTTTCCCCAGAAGATGGAGAACCTCTTATATCCGATTGTAGAGCTTGTATGCCTTTGACTCCTCCTTATATCCGATGAAAATGCATTTTTCACCGCGATTGTCAAGCTTCTTTCATTTGACTTCAGGTACTTGAGCATATGCAACACAACCAAAAATTCGCAGGTGTGCCACACTAGGCGTGTAACCGCTCCATGCCTCTTGAGGTGTCTTGTTCTTCACTATCTTTGTGGGGCATCGGTTGAGCAAATAAGCTGAGCACGCCACGGTTTCTGCCCAGAACTGCTTTGGCAATCCCTTTTCTTTGAGCATGGTTCTTATCATGTCGAGGATGGTTCGGTTCTTTCTTTCTGCAATGCCATTTTGCTGTGGTGTGTAGGCAGTAGTAAACTGTCTCTTTATACCTTGCTCCCTACAATATTCTTGAAACAGATTTGAGGTGTACTCACCACCTCGGTCAGATCGAAGAATTTTTAGCTTGTGGCCGCTCTCTGCTTCAACTAAAGCTTTAAAATGCTTGAATGTAGTAAAGGCAGCAAATTTTTCTTTAAGAGTGAACACCCACAACTTTCTACTGAAGTCATCAATGAAAGTTATAAAATATCTATTACCTCCCAAAGAGACGGGATCGATCGGTCCGCAGATGTCGGTGTGAACAAGTTGCAATGGTACACTTGCTCTCCATGATTTTTCACTGGGAAAAGGAAGTCGCGGTTGCTTGCCGATTACACAACCTTCACAAATATGATTCGGTGGATCAATTGTTGGTAGACCTCGTACCATGCCAGCTATAGATAACAACTTCAAACCGCTGAAGTTTAGATGGCCGAAGCGAAGATGCCACCTCCATGACTCATTCTCCATGAGTCCTTGAAAACACTTGTCGACTTTCGTGTTTAGATGCAAGGGAAACATGCGGTTCCTTGTCATCTTAACACAAGCTATGAGGCCTCCATTTGTATTTTTCAACCAAAGATGGTTGTTCTCCATATATACTTTGTATCCCTTTCCGAGTAATTGACCGATGCTAAGAATATTACTTTTCATGTTAGGAATATAGTAAACATCGGAAATATACTCGGGCTTACCATCCTTTTGGTAGATCTTAATCTTCCCTTTGTCTTCAACCGAGAGTTTTGAAGAATCTCCGAGGCTCACACTTCCATGAACTCCTTCTGTGAGTTCCATGAAAAGTTCTTTCATCCCGCACATGTGGTTGCTAGCACCCGAGTCAAGGTACCAAGCATCATTCTCAACACTTGAATCATCATTAGCAAGAAGAAGCGTAGAGTTGTTACCCACATCATTTGTTGCTTCGGCAAGATTGGTTTGGTCTTTAGTTTTGTGCCAACAATTTGAAGCATAGTGCCCAAACTTGTGACAGTTATA